ATAGCATTACTAATAATAATAATAATATTAACAGTAGTAGTAATAACATTGATAATACTAGTAATAGTGATATTAAGTAAATAATAATAATAATAATAATAATTAGGTCTAGTTTGTGCTAAAAATGGTAAAATAACTATTCTTACATTATTAGTGATATTAGAAGCTTAAAGAAATAGTTTGGAAGAAAGAAGGGAAAAAATTGGATGTCAACATAAGCCATGTAACTGTCTTCCTCACTCGAATCATTGTTAGTAGCTTTAAGTACCAGGTACTTTTCCTTCTTTGGTTCTCTCCTTTCAAATATTGGTGGAGTAGCCATGATGATCCTTCCTAGTTGTTAGCTTGATAGGAAGAACCTGCTCTGATACCACTTGTTAGAAACAGTGCGTCCACCAAACTGTATAGAGAATTGGGTTCTCTATGTATTTCCTCTGAAAATACTGATGAACCAAACTGTATAGGGATCTTGTCCTATATCAGTTTGGTACAGTGCTAAGTTTGTGTGAGTCCCAAATAGTAGAGTACCTGGTCCTTTGTGGGGTTCTGTTGTGAATGCTAGTAAAGTTGTATGTAAATAAGGCCAAGGATTTTTACGTGGAAAAATCCGACACAAGGGGATCAAAAAACCACGACCTGCACCTGTAGGTTTTTAACTTCACTAACTTGCAATCTCCCTATTACAAGCCACTTTACAATAACCCTATTGCAAAGACTTCAACTAACTTGTGATGCTCTCATCACAAGCCACTCTATAACTATCCTAGTTACAAAGAATTTGACTAACTTGTGGTATTTCCACCAAAAACTACTTTGTCACACTACGGTTACAAAGACATTGACTAACTTGTGATGTTTCCACCACAAGCCACTTTGTCACACTACGGTTACAAAGGTTTTTATTTATGACTAATCCTAGCCACAACATAAACTCAGGGAGTTTACGAATTTTGGTTTATTCCTAAGACAACGCTTCTAAAAAAGCCGGATAGGAGTTACAATGAAGAACACATAATAAAGACTCAACAATCCTAAGGACTTAAGATATCATCAATCTTGGATCAGGTCCTTGAGGTTGCAACAGCTTTGTTCTTGAGAGAGGTTCTTGAGCACTTGAGAGAATTTTCGTTTTCTATATTTGCAAGTATTGGAACCTGAACTTGTGCCTTGCATAAGGTTTATACTACACAAGACATCCTTAGTGATGTCCAATCTCAATAGGAAGTGACTGATGCACTGTTTACTGCACTATTACAGTCAGTCACTTTCTGCAATTACTTTCTAGTTGTAGTTGACTTGTACTTATGTCAGAGAACTCTAAGGGACTAGGTCCCTGTTGTGTTTCTCTTTGTACAATTGCAATCGGTCACTCAGTGGCGTTCCAGCTATATAGTTGACTTGGACTTTTGTCAGAGAAGTACCACGGGATCAGGTTCCTGATCTGGTTCTTGTGCACACCGCCCAGATTGTCTTGAGTTGAGTAACTTGAATGATGTTTTGTATAGACTCATTGTAGGTACACCTTTATCACATCACTTGAAGTGATGTGAGCACTTTAGTTGGTTAGAGAATGAGTGGGCACTGAAAATAGTGCAGTGCAACAGAATCTTCGTTTTCAGTTATGTCCAATTGACTTTGTACTGCCGTGAGGAACCCATAAGAGTATCAGGTCCTTGTTTGGATTTACCTCCTGAAGCTGTAGCAAGCTCACATTTGGCTGGAATCCGTTAGATGCAGTGTAATCCAAGTGAGTCAGGTTCCCTATCAAGTTCTTGGCATTAAGTTTGTTAGATCATCAAAACACAAGGCAAAGATATTGAAAACCTATCAATCCTATCAATTTCCCCCTTTTTGATGATGACAAACTTAGCATTGAAAACAAGGTGTTAGAGTTCAGAGAACCAGATTGAATAATAGGAGACCACAGGTTCCCCTTGACTTTATGCCCTTACTCACACATGTTTCCCCATATGTCCCCCCTGACTTTTTACTATCATTCTTGGTCTTTTATCTGGTTCCATACAGAAATTTTGTTAGATAATCAAAACATAGCTTAAAAGACCCTAAGCCCATCAGTGTATCTTCCAAACATCTAAAAGAAGTTTTCACTACCTCAAAGACCTCTGTCTTTTGTCGCCTAGGGACCACAAGGAAGTCTCCATCTAGAAAGATACTGTCAAAATACAAGGAGCAAGTCCATGAGGAGCGGGATTATTTTGAAGTTGTTGCTGACAAAGAAATCGGTAGTGCTTTCCCATCACGTATGAAGAGGAAATCTATTTTGTCGATATCCATAGATGGTCCGCTGAAGGTGCAAAGGAGAACCATTATTTACACTTGCCAGCCTCATAAAGAAGCAAAGAAAGAGAAAGAAGCCATGTTGACTATCCAAGGAAGTCAAAGAGAAAAGTCAGACTTTGTGAAAACATCCTATCACATAACTGTGGAAGATAGCCCATGCCTTAACGTCAATGATGAAGTACATGAGGCTCATCCTCAACTAAAAGATGGCGGGCAATCAACTATGGATGAGCTTAAGGAACTCAATTTAGGTACTTCGAAAGATCCACGCCTCACCTTCATTAGTGCACTGCTTACGCCTCAAGAGGAGGAGGAATACTCCAAGTTGTTGACTGAGTACAAAGATGTCTTCGCTTGGTCGTATAGAGAAATGCCTAGTCTTAGCCCTAAGGTAGTTGTTCATCATTTAGGGATCAAAAGTGGAGCACCCTGTGAAGTAGTCACAACTCATGTTTTGACCCGAGCTTGTATCACAAATTGAAGTCGAAGTCAACAAGCTCATCGAGGTGGTTATTCGAGAGGTGAAGTACCCATCATGGATATCAAATATTGTACCTATCAAGAAAAAGAATGGTCAAATACGCATTTGTGCTGACTTTCGAGACCTAAACAAGGCATGCCCAAAAGATGACTTCCCGCTACCAATTATTGAACTCATGGTTGATGCTACAACAGGGCATGAAGCTATGTCATTCATGGATGGGTCCTCTGGATACAATCAAATCAGAATGTCTCCAAAAGATGAAGAGTGTACTGCTTTCCGAACTCCAAAAGGGATATATTGCTACAAAGTGTTGCCCTTCGATCTGAAGAATGCTGGTGCAACCTATCAACGCGCGATGCAAAACATATTTGATGACATGCTTCATAAGAGGGTTGAATGCTACGTCGATGACTTAGTGGTAAAGACGAAGAGTAGGCGTTACCACCTTGAAGACCTTCAAATTATTTTTGAAAGGTTAAGAAAATTCGACCTGAAGATGAATCCATTCAAGTGTGCATTTGGAGTTACCTCAGGAAAGTTTCTTGGCTTCATTGTGCTTCATCGTGGAATTGAAGTTGATCCTGCAAAGATTGATGCCATTCAGAAAATGCCCAAGCCAAAGAACTTGAGGGATCTTCTAAGTCTCCAAGGAAGCTTAGCATTCATCCGAAGGTTCATCTCTAATCTAGCCAGACGGTGTCAACCCTTCAATCATCTATTGAGGAAGGATATCCCTTTTTATTGGGATCAGTCATGTTAAAATGCTTTTGAAAGCATCAAAACATACTTGCTGAATCCACCTATGTTAGGGGCGCCAATACTTAGGAAGCCATTGATACTCTACATCGCGGCACAGGAACATTCACTTGGAACACTACTTGCTCAAGAGAATGAGGAAGTAAAGCAACAAGCCTTGTACTACCTTAGTCAAACTTTGATACGAGCTGAGTTGAACTATACGCCTGTTGAGAAAATATGCTTAGCGTTACTCTAAGCAATAAAGAAGCTAAGGCATTATTTTGAAGCATACACCATCAAACTCATCTCTCGAGCAGATCCCATGAAGCTTGTGATGAATCGACCTGTTCTTTCTGGACGCCTAGCAAGATGGTCCATATTGTTTAACCAATATGAGATCACATACAAACCTCAAAAAGCTGTGAAAGGACAAGCACTAGCCAATTTTCTAGCTGATCACCCTCTCCTAACAGAATGGGAGCTTTCAGATGAGTTTCCAGATGAAGACGTTTTGTTCATCGAAGAATTTCCACCATGGACAATGTTCTTTGATGGATCTGCACGTCATAATGGTGTGGGGGCAGGTGTTGTGTTGATCTATCCAGAAAGACAAGTCTTGCCATTCTCCTTTGTTTTAGGTGAAACATGCTCCAACAATGCTACAGAGTACCAAGCTTTGATTGTCGGTCTCGAAATGGCATTAGAAATGAAGATTCTATAGTTGGAGATCTACGGTGACTCTAAGATGATCATCAACCAACTTTTGGGGAGTTATGAGGTAAAGAAGGAAGATCTATTATCATACCATGAATACGTTTCTGGTTTACTTGAAAAATTCAACCGAGTGTTCTTAAACCACGTCCCAAGAGAAGAAAATCGCAAGGCTGATGCTTTGGCTAACTTGGCCACAACGATAACACTTGGAGAGAATGAGTCAACAAAGGTATATGTGTGTCATCGATGGGTTATTCCTAGACTTCTGGATCTTCAAGTAAACTAAAGCCATCATGCGTCTGTTTGAGTGATTGAAGAAGTAGATTAGAAGAAACCACTAATAGAGTACCTTGAACATGGAAAGTTACCTGAAGATCCGCGACAAAGAATAGACATCAAACGAAGAGCACCACGATTCATCTTTTATATGGGGACATTGTTTCGCCGCTCTTTTGAAGGACTATTCTTGCGATGTCTTGACAAAGAAGAAGCCCGCCAAGCGATGGAGGAAGCACATTTTGGCTCATGTGGAGCACACCAATCTGGTCCCAAGCTCCATTTTCGCATCAAGAGGATGGGCTACTACTGGGCGACAATGGTGAAGGATTGCATGGATCATGCAAAAAGATGTTAAGCGTGTCAATTTCATGCTAGCTACATCCACCAACCTCCAGAGCCTCTTCACCTAACTATATCTCCATGGCTTTTTGATGCATGGGGACTTGACGTTGTTGGACCACTTCCAAAGTCATCAAAGGGATAGATGTACATATTGGCCGCTACGGACTACTCCTCTAAATGGGTGGAAGCTGTTCCACTCAAGGAGGTGAAAAAGGAAACTGTTATCGATTTTATCAAGTCATATATAATTTTTAGGTACGGCATACCAAGATACATAATCACTAATAATGGAACGCCATTTGACAACAAGCTCGTGAAGAGTCTATGCGAGAAGTTCAGTTTCAAACAACATAAGTTTTCAATGTATAATGCACATGCCAACGGCCTTGCTGAAGCTTTTAATAAGATGCTTGGTAACCTTTTGAAGAAAGTTATTGCAAAGAACAAGAGAGACTGGCATGAGAGAATTGGTGAAGCTTTGTGGGCATACTGATAACTAGGGAGTTTGATGCATTTCATGCTCCTTCTTGCTTATGCTTTGATTATAAATTCATACAAAATAGTCCCAAAAGGCTCATAAGTTGTGCTTGATTGCAGGTTTGATCAACAAAGTGACGAGTTGTCAAAGATCGGCTCAAAAGGAGTGAAACTGGCACAAGTACCAAAGACAAGACAAAACTCAGGAGAAATAGGCCTAGTGCGGCCGCACTAGACTTTGTGCGGTCCGCACTTGGGAGATTCAGAGAGTTGGATTTTCAAGCATTAAAGCAATGCGGCCGCAGTAGATAGTGTGTGGCCCACACTTAAGGCACCGTGGCCGCACTACCATTCTGTGCGGTCCGTAGAACCAAAGTTCAGAGAGATGCCAAGTTCTGAAGATCAAGCATGTGCGCTCCGTGGTCATGTTTGTACGGACCGCACTAGATGCCTCCGCGGCCGCAGTCCATTCTGTGCGGTCCGCGGAGCCTGGGTTCAGAGAGTTGAATTTGCAGAGTCAAGAGCCTAGTGCGGCCGCACACCATTTTGTGCGGTCCGCACTGACCCCGCAGGGGCATTTTTGTCCAATTTTTCCAGCTTAGTATAAAAAGAACTTTTTTCCATTTTTAGGGCATCAAATATTATTAGACGTTAGTTGCGCTCGTGAGAAGACTTTTCATAGCCATTTTGGGCATTTTTACTTAGTTTTTATCATTGAATTTTGTATTTACCTTAGCAGTTAATTAATATGTCTTTATCTTCATCTATTTCCCTGTTTTTCTCTTCAAGCATGAGTAGCTAGACCCATTAGCTAGGGTTGTGGCTCAACCCTAGTGTGGGTAATTGATGGGTGTTGTGATTTAAGGTTAGATTGACTATGGGTGTTTGTTATTTGGGTCAATTTCATGGTTTAATCTATGAATTAGTGGTTGCAAACACTAGTTTGTGCTAAGTTGACTTGGGTTCTTCTTGAGAAAGAGAGACTAAGTCTCCAAAATTGACCTAACAAGGAATTGGGATGTACTCAAGAGAATTGATAGTCCCAATTAAAGGGTTAAACCTCGAGAGAGTAATACCCGACTTGAACCCTAGTTGCATGAGCAAATTTGCCTACCCTATTGGTCTTGAAAAAGTCAATTGGGCAAAATCACTCTCTCTACCGAGAGGTGTGAGAGTGGGTAAAATTGTGCAACGGTTATAACATATTCCCCAATCATGTCAATCGTGCCTTAGGTTCAATTATCCGTCAATTGGCCACCTAGGAGGATGCCACTACCCTAGTGCCTTTTAAACTATTAGATACAACTTGTAGCAATTTACTCGTACTTAATTTAGTAGCAATTGTAATTTGTAGTTTGATAATAGTAGAATATAAATAAAACCCAAAAATGATTAGGAGTGATATTTGAAACAAATATGCAATTCCAACCTAAATAGATACTCGGCTCCATTCCTAGCTCTCTGTGGAAATCGATCCCGACCCACAAATCGGGTAAAAGCTATTGTGACCCTCTCTTCCTACTTTTTAGTAGTGTGGTGGCTGCGATCAACTTTTTGGCGTCGTTGTCGGGGAGATAACAGTTTTGGTTATCTATTTAGTTAGTTTTGTGTATTGTTCTTCTTTCCTTCTTTGTTACTTACTTGTTCGTGTCACTACTCAGGTACCAACATGGCTTTAAACAACGCTAATGACCCTCTTGGAAACGTGATAGCGGGGAGGAGGTAGATGATCTCGAGCAAGATGAGGTGCCTCTTGCACCTCAAGGATAACGTAGATGCCGCAATGCCAATGGGAATCCAAATGACAATATTCTAGACCCTCCTCCGCCACCTCCAAGAGTGGCTCCCAGAGTACTTCCGAACCAGGGTTATGCAAGTGTTATTGTCCCACCTAGAATCCGGGCGGGCAACTTTCAGATAACCAATGTAATGTTGACCTTACTTGAGCAGCGTGGGTACTTCACGGGCGCTTCAAATCAAAATGCCTTCAAACATCTCAAGGGGTTCGTAGATATATGTTGGGGGAGAAAGTAGACGAATATATCCGAGGATGCGCTGAGATTGAGACTTTTCCTGTTCTCACTTCGGGGGAAGGCATTAGACTGGCTCGATAGACTCCCCAACCATTCCATCACAACTTGGGATGAGTTGGCGGATAAGTTCATTGCAAAATTCTTCTCTCCTAGTCATATGGCGGCACTTCGAGATGAAATATTAGCTTTCAAGCAAGAGCCAACAGAACCTTTGCATGAGATTTGGGAGCGGTATAGAACGATGGTAAAGGAGTGACCAAATAATGATATGACCGAAGCCATGATCCAACAAACCTTCTACCGGGGCATAAATACTACAAATCAATGCATTGTTAACCAATTGGCCGGGAGAAATTTTATGAAGCTTTCTTATGATGAGGCATGTGATGTACTTGATGAAATGGCGGACACTTCTTCAGCATGGCAGAGTAGAGCAAATGTGCCTTAAGGTGACCCTACGTTTATCCATTTGCACAAGGAATTACTCGATCACGGGCAAGCGATAGCTGAGCTTACTACTACTATGAACTAGTTAGCTAAGGCGCAGTTGCAACAAGTTCAGAATCCTCGCCAAGTGAATGCCATAGAGGGTGTTAGTATGCTTGTCAACAAGAGAAGGAAAAGGAGGCAACAAAATCAAGGGAATTCTGAGCAATGTGATGATATATGTGATGGTTATGATGATCAAAGTAAAGAGGTACAATATGTCAACAACTATCAAGGCAATAGAGGTAACTCTTCAAACCAACAATGGCGACCCCAAGGAAATTGGGGCAATCAACAACAAGGTGGTGGTAATTGGAACAACAACAACCAAAACAACAATTGGGTAATCAAAACAACAACCAAAGCAATTGGAATGGAAATAACAACAATTGGGGCAACAATAACAATCAAGGTAGGTGGAACAACAATGGAATCCAAGGCAACCGGGGGCAAGACTTTCAAAGGCCCTCAATTTACCAACAACCGAACAATCCACCCCTTTCACTTCTCAAGGTCCTAGTTCTTATGGTAATGATATGAGTAGAATTGAAATGATGTTCAAGCAGATGATGAAGAGGAATGCGGATTTTAATGCACAGTTAGCTTCTCACAACACCTCTATCCGAAACTTGGAGGTGCAATTAAGCCAAATATCTCAGTCATTGAATACTCACCCGAAGGGTGCTCTACCAAGTGATATGGTAGTGAACCCAAAGGGTGGGAACAATCATGTTATGGCGGTCACAACAAGAAGTGGGAGAGGCGGTAATGTGAATGCCTCTAAGCAAAAGCAAGTCGTAGATGATGATGTTGAGTTGCAAGATGACGAAGTCCCTTTGGTGGTTGAAGATGTGGTTGATGAAAATGTGAACAATGAAGTGAGGATTGATATTCAAGAAGGCGAGGTGGAAACCCAAAATGATGTGAACCCGTCTAGGGAACACATAATTAACATGCCGGAGCCGGTTGTGCCAAAAGCCAAGGCTCCTTTTGCCAAGGCCACCTCCACCTTATCCTCAAAGGCTCGCGAAGTAGAAAAATGATAATTAGTTTAAAAGTTCATTGACATGATGAAGAGCTTATCTATTAATATGCCTTTGGTGGAGGCACTTGAACAAATACCGGGTTATGCAAAATTCATGAAAGACTTGTTTACAAATAAGCATTCTATGGATTGTGAAACTATAAAGATGACTCACCAAGTTAGTACTATAGTGCGTTCAATGGCCCCGAATCTTGAAGATCCCGGTGCTTTCACCATTCCTTGCACCATTGGGAGTGCGGATTTTGCCAAGGCTCTATGTGACTTGGGAGCTAGTATAAATTTAATGCCCTACTCGGTTTTCAAAACTTTGGGTATCGGGAAACCTAGGACAACCTCAATGAGACTTCAAATGGCGGATCAATCGATGAAGCGACCTTTGGGCATTATTGATGTCGTGCTTGTCTGAGTGGACAATTTCATATTGCCGGCCGACTTTGTGATTCTGGATTGTGAGTTGGACTATGAGGTTCCTATTATCTTAGGAAGGCCTTTCCTTGCAATGGGGAAGGCATTGGTTGATGTTGAAGCGGGTGAACTCACTTACCGAGTGGGAGATGAAAAGGTCTTTTTCCATGTTTGCAAGTCAATGAAGCAACCCAATAGCACCGAGGTGTGCTTATTTGTAGACCTTGTTACAGCCGTGATTGTGGATGATACCAGTGCTATGATCAATGTGGAGGATCCTTTTGAGGCTGTGCTATTAAATCTTGATGTCAATGAGGATGCAAGTAGAGTGGAGTGCGTGAACGCCTTACATGGAATGGGCTCTTACTCTTATGAGCCTAGAAAATTGTCTTTGGATCTTGAAAACCGGAAAACTCTACCAACAAAACCATCAATTGAGGAGCCACCAGTGTTGGAGTTGAAACCACTTCCTCCACACCTCAGGTATGAATTCTTGGGCTCAAACTCTACTTTACCAGTTATTCTTTCTTCTTGCCTTACTAACATGCAGGTTGAGGCCACTTTGGCGGTGCTTCAAAAGCGAAAAAGGGCAATTGGATGGACTCTAGCTGACATTCGGGGAATAAGTCCCGCATTTTGTATGCACAAAATTATCTTGGAGGATGATGCAAAGCCTTCCTTGGAGCATCAAAGAAGATTGAACGAGGCTATGCAAGAAGTGGTGAAGAAAGAAGTGATCAAATGGTTGGATGTCGGGGTTGTGTACCCCATTTCTGATAGCTCATGGACTTCTCTGGTGCAATGTGTACCGAAGAAGGGTGGTATGACTGTGGTGACCAATGACAACACTGAACTTATTCCTACTCGGACAGTCACAGGTTGGAGGGTTTGCATGGACTACTAGAAGCTAAACAAGGTGACCCGAAAGGACCATTTCCAATTGCCATTCCTTGACTAAATGCTTGATCGTCTTGCGGGGCGTGTTTTTTATTGCTTTTTGGATGGATACTCGGGGTATAATCAAATCTTGATTGATCCGGAAGATCA